CATGTGTAGAGTCTTCTCTTATGTTGTTGGAAGAAGGTGTTTGCTATGACCAGTGCGTTCTTTTGGCAAAACTCTACTAGCCTTTGCCCTGCTTCATTCTGTGCTCCAAGGCCAAATTTGCCTGTTACTCTAGGTATTTCTTGACTTCCTACTTTTGTACTCCGGTCCCCTGCAATGAAAAGGATGTCTTTTTTGGGTGTTAGTTCTAGAAGGTCTTGTAGGTCTTCATAGAACTGTTCAACTTCTGCTTTTCAGCATTACCAGTCGGGGCATAGACTTGTATTACCGTGATATTGAATGGTTTGCCTTGGATAGAATTGTTACAGTGGGTTTTCTTGGTTTGGATATTTGAGAAGTTTGTGACAGCTTTCCAACAGGTGCAAGTGTTGAGGCGTTTGATTTTCAAGGAGTGTGTGGTTAGTGACACTTCCAAAGGGAACACTTTTCTATTATATATCAGATCCTAGCTGTTACTGAGCCTCCTCTCTTCAGTTCAGTTCAGTTCAGTCGCTGTCATGTCTGACTCTTTGCGACCCATGAATCTCAGCACGCCAGGCTTCTCTGTCCATCACCAACTCCCGGAGTCTACCCAAACCATGTCCATTGAGTCGGTGATGCCATCCAACCATCTCATCCTCTGTTGTCCCCTTCTCCTCCTGCCCTCAATCTTTCCCAGCATCAGGGTCTTTTCAAATGAGTCAGCTCTTCACATCACGTGGCCGAAGTATTGGAGTTTTAGCTTTAACATCAGTCCTTCCAATGAACGCCCAGGATTGATCTCCTTTAGGATGGACTGGTTGGATCTCCTTGCAGTCCAAGGGCAGACAGACTGAAACCACAATCACAGACAACTAGCCAATCTGATCCCACGGACCACAGCCTTGTCTTACTCAATGAAACTAAGCCATGCCGTGTGGGGCCACCCAAGATGGATGGGTCATGGTGGAGGGTCTGACAGAATGTGGTCCACTGGAGAACCTTCTCTGAAGCATCCATAATCTATAATCAGGACCCAGTTCCTCGCACTGAGATGATCCTTCTGATGTTCTGTCCGAAGTTCAGCTTAGCCTGAAATCTCAGTGCCACACATCCCCATGGGCTCTGTAGGCATCATACAGGCAGTTGTCCTCAGCATCATCGACATGGTTATCTAGGGTTATCAGGTGAGAAGAACCAGAGTTTTGGTGAGTGTTAACAGCTTATGTGTGTGTGTGGAAGACAGAGGGAATGAATTTAGTTTCTTTATATTTTCCTCTGTGTACTTGTGTTTTAAATATTGTTTTATTCTCTGTAGTTCTCTTTGAGGTCATTAAACAAAAGCAATCTAAATGTTGAAAGAAAATATTAGGTTGTTTTTTACCTGTACTATGTAGTTAGGGCAATGATGGTTGTGTCTGTACTGAACACAGGCAGACTTCTTTTTTTCAAATTATTATTTCCTAAAAAATATAATGTAAAAACTATTTACATAGTACTTATGTTATATTAGGTGTTATAAGTGGTCTTCCCTGGTGGCTCAGTAGTAAAGAATCCACCTGCCAATGCAGGTGATCGGGGTTGGATCCCTGGGTGGGGAAGATTCCCCTGGAGAAGGAATGGCAACCTGCTCCAGTATTCTTGGCTGGAGAAATCCATGGACAGAGAAGCCTGATGGGCTACAGTGCATGTGGTCCCAAAGGGTCAGACAGGACTGAGGAACTGAGTACCCACCATGTATTATAAGTCATCTAGAAATGATTTAAAGTATACAGGGAGGAAGGATGTGTATAGGTCATATGCAAATACTAGGCCATTTTATGTAAGGAACTTCAGTACTCCCAGGTCTTAGTATCCGTGGAGGGTCCTGGAACCAATCCCTGAGAGCAGAGACCTCTGTTCTTCTGAGAATCCGTGTAGAGTTGTAGGTCTCAAACCCCACTACACGTTAGGACCACCCCAGGCAACTAAAAAATGGTGATGCTCTAGTTCCTTCCACAACCACAAAGGGTCAATTCAGTAGGCTTGGACTTTGGTGTATTTAAAGTCCCCAGATGATTCTAAAGTGGAGCCGGGGCTGGGTAGTTCTGGATAAGCATTTGTGTACAGGACCCAGCTGTCAAGATGCATGTCACATTCCCTTTATTAGCCATGTAAATATTTGCTTTACTAAGTCCTTCCTCTGTTCATTCTCAGTGCTCATGAAACTGTAATTTAAAGCCCTTAGGGTATCTGCTATGCCATCAAATATATTTCATTATATTTACCAGCACCCTCCCAGGAATTCCGAGGACTTCCCTGGTGGCTCAGATGGTAAAGCATCTGCCTGCAATGTGGGAGACCTGGGTTCGATCCCTGGGTCGGGAAGATCCCCTGGAGAAGGAAATGGAAACCCACTCCAGTGTTCTTGCCTGGAGAATCCCATGGATGGAGGAGCCCGGTGGGCTACAGCCCATGGGGTCGCAAAGAGTCAGACACAACTGAGCGACTTTCACCTTCCCAGGAATAGCAAATACTGCTTCAAAGCAGTGAGAATCAGATGAGGACAGAAGGGAGCCGGGATCAGGTTGGGGAACACATGTAAATCCATGGCTGATTCATGTCAATGTATGGCAAAAACCACTACAATATTGTAAAGTAATTAGCCTCCAACTAATAAAAATAAATGAAAAAAAAAAAAGATGAGGAACAGAAGCCCAGACTGTCCTATTCTCATCTGTTTCCCCTGAAACTGAGGAGATACTTAAAATTTTTGAATGGATAGGTGAATAAACAGAGTTAAGACCATATATTGAACTACTGATCTTGAATTTATTTATTGCTTTTTAAAAAAATACTTACCTTTAAAATTTTTTTTCAAACTTTAAACTATTTATTTTTTACTGTTTTTTTTTTTTTTTTTTTTGTATACCAAAACAAAACTAACCATGTTGTGATAGTTTCAGGTGGACAGTGAAGGGACTCAGCCACACATATACATGGATCCATTCTCCCCCAAAACTCTCCTATCCAGGCTGCCTAACAGCATAACTTTGACTTGTGAACTTGAATACACTTAAAGACTAGAGTATTACATTTAAAGGCTAGAGAATACATTTAAATAATGAGATTAGAAATATTTGTGTGTGAGAATGCTGATCTGGGTCTAATCACGTAGGTGATAACAGGAGTAAATGTGAGTGAGGCCCCACCCTTCAGTCCAAGGGTTCAGGCACAGAAGACATCTGCCATGTTTTTAGCAAGGCTTGGGAAGGACTTTGTGGTTACTCAGAAAGACAGGGACAGCCCTGGATCATATTAACAGGTGTAGGATCTGGAACGTCAGAGACAATCATCCCATTTTTGTCCTTTTCCAGATCACAACTGTGGTATTATGTGCAGTTCTGAAAACCACTATTGGGGGTGGAGACAATATAAAAACTAGAGAATATTTGGCAAAGACTTCCAGGATGTGGGGAAAAATCAAACCGGGTCACAGAGGGAATAGTTGGAGGACTGGGCAAGTTTTGCTTGGAGGAATGCAGGACTGTGGAAATTATTTTTATTTATTTGAAAGGTTAACATTGAGAAAACAGACTGGATTTATCCGATATGACTACAGAGTTGGGTTAGAACCAAATTTTAATTCCATACAAAGAATGACTTTTTCCAAGATCAAAGTTAGCCAAGAGAGGACTATGGAATGGCTCTCTTGCATACACTGAGGTATTCTGGCAGCTGTCTATATGTCAGGATGTGGAGGAGCACTTAATCAGGGGGTCCTGATTAAATGCAGATACTGCTTGGGTTGGTCCCCAGTGGAGCCTGATCTCGCCTGCATTTCTAACAAGCCCCCAGGTGATGTCGACTCTGTGGCCTCTAAGGTTCTTTTCAAGTCTGAGACTTTGACTTCTATGAAGTTGATTGTGTGTCCTCTCCTATGGGCTTTCCAGGAGGTGCTGGTGGTAAAGACCCACCTACCAGTGCAGGAGACCTAAGAGATGAGGGTTCGATCCCTGTGTCGGGAAGATCACCAGGAGGAGGGCATGACAACCCACTCCAGTACTCTTGCCTGGAGAATCCCACGGACAGAGGAGCCTGGCAGGCTACAGTCCATAGGGTCGCAAAGAGTCGAACACGACTTAGAGACGTAGCATGCACACACACCTTTTGTATGCAGACTTCGTTTCCTTTGATTTCTAGGTATAGCCTGTTGCAACCCGGTGTAAGGAGAGACCTTTGGGAAACTTCCCAAACAAAACCAAAGCCCCCTATGAATGCCATGTAGTGGTTTTTCACTGTGGAGGCACAGAAAGGACTAATAGACTGTGATCATTGTTCTTAATTCAGAGGTGCCAAGGTTACCATTCTGTCTCGTGAAAAGTGGACCTAGTATTTGTAGAGATGGAGAATGAGTCATAGCCACAAAATCTTTCTTCCTTTTTGCTTTGTACATCTGTATAAACAGATCAGGGAGAAACTTGTAACTTTGCCTCTCAAATAAGACAAAAAGAAATTTTAAGAGCGTTTCTTCATGGCTTTATCAGTTTCCCTCCCAGTTAAAAGGGTCAAAATGCCATCTCCTCTTGCTGGAAAGCATCCCAGAAGTCTCTCAAGGGCTTGGATGTAGGCTGGGGATGGTCCTGTCACCTCTCACCTCCCCATGTTTGGCAGAGACTGCAGGCTGCATACCCCTCCACAAAATTCTTTTTCCTTCCTTCCTTTGTCATAGAATCTCTGGTTCTTAACTATAGGCTTGTGACTTCCCAGAGAAAGAGATCCTGTTTCCTAGATTCCTCTGCTCATTTTCCTGATCTATCATTAAATGTCGATAATGATGGAAAATGACATTCCACTCGGGAATAATAGGAGTCATAAAAGCATTTTTTTAATGAAGCATTGCCATTTTATCCAGGATACTGAAAAGGGTGCGCTGTGGTCCAGGGAGCAGAGAGATGATGTCTTTGATCATCAGTTGTGGTGATAAACAATGCAGGAGGAAGAATGCTGTGTTTGGCTAGGAAGTCACTGTGGGACTTCATGAATCACATGTCTCCCCGTCTGTCAGGGGTAGAGGGGCCTGATGGGGTAAAGAGGCCTGATGGAGTAGAAGTCAGAGGTGGAGCAGTTTCTGTCACTGGTGAGAACGGTAGCATGGAGTCTGTGGTAGTCCCTCTGTTCATTGGTGGTTTCCTCTGATAAGACAAAAATCAAGACACAAGAATGCATCTATAAATACTCAATATACAAATATTACATAGCCACTACTTGAATAATAAAACATTGTTAAGTTTATTATAGATAAGAGAATTTTCAACCATTGCCATTTTCTTCTTTAGTTTCATTAAAATTATCAGCTTCTTCTAGTTGTCTGTATGTGTAGGACAGTTAATGAAATTTCACATTGTTTGTATTTGATCACTGAAAAGAAAATCAGCTACTTTCTTTCCAACCTGTTGTTCCAGCCAATCCCTTTGGGAGGAACAGCTGGAAGAGTTGGACACCACCCCCGCCCCCACCCCCCGCAAATGTTGAAGCATGCTTCTGAAGGTAGCAGAGTTGTAAGAAAGTGAGGTTTTATGGACTCAAGACTGTGGGGAGGCAAAAACCCCGGGGAGACATATGACTTTACTTTTGAGGCAATTGGCAATCCCCAAAGTAGTGGCTGAAAGGCTGGAAGCTGAGCAGGACTTTTAACACTTGATCTTAGCCAAAAGGCCAAGAAGTGATGAGCAGGACTTTTAACAAACCCACAGGGCCAGGGGACAAAAGTTCAAGTTCAGAGGCTGCCGGGGAGAAGGAGTGAAGGGCACGGCAGCACACTCCAGTATTCTTGCCTGGAGAATCCCATGACAGAGGAGCCTGGGAGGCTACATGTTCCTGGGGTTGTGAAGAGTCGGACACGACTGAAGCGACTCAGCACGCAGGGAGAAGGAGACTTGAGTAACCAGTCTTATGGCTGGAACTCCAAAGACCTCACCCTGGGAGTAAGGAGGAACCAGGGGGACTTGTTCTAATCAACTCAATCTCTGTATGGATCAAGGTGGTCTGTGAATGTTGTGCCCATAGTCTATACAGTCTAGGAAAAAAAATACTTTCTGTCTGGAGGAAGGCAACTTCATCTAGAACCTCAGCTTGTCTACAGTTTTCAAAAACAATGTTAACTGCTCAATCAAAAACAACCAGGTTTAAAAAAAGTATCAGAGGTAACGATAACCCTATATGCAAAACAGAAAAAGAGACTCAGATGTATAGAACAGACTTGCGGACTCTGTGGGAGAAGGCGAGGGTGGGATGTTTCAAGAGAACAGCATCGAAACATGTATATCTAGGGTGAAACAGATCACCAGCCCAGGTTGGATGCATGAGACAAGTGCTCGGGCCTGGTGCACTGGGAAGACCCAGAGGGATGGGGTGGAGAGGGAGGTGGGAGGGGGGATCGGGATGGGGAATACATGTAAATCCATGGCTAATTCATTTCAATGTATGACAAAAACCACTGCAATGTTGTAAAATAATTAGCCTCCAACTAATAAAAATAAATGGAAAAAAAAAAAGTATCAGAGGTAGTGGGAAGGACAAGACTAGACTGACAATGAAAAAAAAATTAGATCAGAGAGGCAGACCCTCAGGAGATACAAATAGTTGTAATTACTAGACATCGACTTTAAAATAGCTATGATTAAAATGCTCAAGGGATTAAAAGATAAGATGGTGTCTTTGATATAAAATGGACATTTTAGAACTGAAAAGCGGAGGGAAGGAAATTATGATTTCTTAAATGGTTTCACATATTTATATATATGAATATATGTATTTTTTTAAAAATTGAAGTTCCTTCTCAAGATATTATTAGTAGGATACATGTAATGAAAATTTGAGAGGACTTTGGCTTAGTAACTGTTTTCAACATTTTCAAAAAATTCTAAGGCTTTTCAAACAAATTCACAAGTATTAGTTCTTCCATTAATTAGTAATTTTGTTAGTATGTGGAACATTCTTAATTCATAATAAGTGACTTAAAGTTGTGTTAAAAACAAGATATAAATGGGAAATTAGCCAGTATCATGATGACAAACCCTCAAACATGATTTCACATTTCCTATGTCTTTTCCTTTGTTTTCCTGAGCCTTCGTTCTTCTCTCAAGTGCTGATAATGATAGAAAAATCAAGAATGAAAACTTACAAAGGCATTGCAGAGTTCATAAAGCCTCTGAAGGTACTGCAAAGGGGAAAAGAAAAACCAAAACAGTTATCTGACACTTAATTGTTAGGAAATTTTGTTTCAGTTCAAAGATATTTTTTTAAGTTCTCAAAAAAAATTACTTCCAAGAAGAAATTACAAAAATTACTTTAAGGTCTGTGAATAATAAAGGGGCTTGTTGTAATGTTAATTGGACAACAAAACATATGAAGAGAATGGAGTTAGGGGTTAGCTGAGCAGAGTACTGGTACAAAAATTTTCCAGAGATTAGCAGCCTCACTAAAAAAAAAAAAAAAAGCAACAAGGATCCATAGAAACATGGAAATTCATCCCTGCCTATGAAAAGAAAGGACAGTCAAGTACCAAGGTGAGGAACAGAGAGCTGTGTGCTTTGACAGTTCTCTCTGAGCAGAAACCTGAGCTTTCAAAGATGCTCCAAGCATCTTCAGGGAGATGTGAAGAAGCAAGCATTATACTAAGAAGCCACCATCTACAGATCAAAGTCTATATGAAACATAATTCCTGAAAATAAGTATAAACTGATCTCTGAGCTTGCTTAGCAAAAAAAAAAAAAAAAAACAAAGACATTTGTCAGCTGAGATAAAGTCTTCTAAAAGGAATTAATCACATGGTAACTTTTTAATGAGGACTTTTAGATATTAGATTGAATGAGTTTACCTTGTGATACAAGAATACTTGATATGGGCTCATTCTGTGATGGATCCTCTGAAAAGTAAAGACACAATATGAAGTTGTAAAAACAAAATTTTTGGGTTCTAGATTATTGAAGTCAGATTACGCTAAATTTGTAAAAGCAGTTTCATGACTTATGTTGTCCCCTTATTTGCAAAAGAGAAGAATCTAAACGAGTTGCACACTGACAGCGGGGGTGTTCACTCGGACAAGAGATAACTCAGGGCTGGTGTTCAGATTTTCACAGGCCTGGAGAGGTCTGTTTCTTTGGAGATGATTTTCCCAACTGGCAGGAACTGTCCACAGAATTCCTAACCATGCCAGTGAGGCTGGTTCCTATGCTTCCCACCTTAGATTTTTTTCATTTCTACCTTGGAGAAATTTTTTTTTAATGTTTTTCAAGTATAGTTGATTTACAGTATTAATTTCTGCTGCACGGCACACCAACTCAGTTATGCATATTATTCTTTTTCATATTCTTTTCAATATAGGATATTGAATGTAGTTCCCTGTGCTATATAGTAGCACTTTGTTCTTATCCATTCTATATGCGGGCCTCCCTAGTAGCTCAAACTGTCGAGCATCTACCTGCCGTGTGGGAGACCCGACTTTGATCCCTGGATTGGGAAGGACCCCTGGAGAAGAGAATGGCTACCCACTCCAGTATTCTTGCCTGGAGAAGTCCATGGACAGAGGAGCCTGGTGGGCTACAGTCCATGGGGTCGTAAAGAGCTGGACACGACTGAGTGGCTCACACACACGTTCTATACATCATAGTTTGCATCTGCTAATCCCAAACTCACTATCCACCTCTCCTCCATCCCACTTTCCCTTGGCAACTACAAGCCTGTTCTTTATGTCTATGAGTCTATTTCTGTTTTGTAGATAAGTTCATTTGTGTCGTATTTTAGACTCCACACATAAGTGATATCATGTTATATTTGTCTTTCTCTGTCTGACTGACTTCACTTGGTATGATAATCTCTAGGTTCATCTGTGTTGCTACAAATGGCATTATTAATATTTCATTCTTTCTTATGACTAATACTCCATTGTATATATACTACATCTTCTTTAGCCATTCATCTATCAGTGAACATTTAGGTTGCTTCCATGTCCTGGCTGTTGTAAACAGTGCTGCTATAAACATAGAGGTGCACATATCTTTTCAAATTACAGCTTTGTCTGGATATATGCCCAGGAGTGGGATTGCTGGATCATATGGCAGTTCTATTTTTATTTTTCTGAGGGACCTCCATACTGTTCTCCATAGTGGCTGCACTAATTTACATTCCCATCAACAGTGTAGGAGGGTTCTCTTTTCTAAGAGAAAATCTTGTAATCATACTTTATGCTCCTGAAAATATTACTTCTTGAAAATGTCTCACATATTTTCTCTTTAAATCACATTTTCCTAGGAGACCACAAATATTCCTAACTTAGGTTGTTTTTTTTAAAAAAAAAAAAAACAATTACCTGCCAGTTTAAGAAGTAATCATGGCGAATTCCAGGATTAAATTCTCGTACCTGTGAAAATTGAGAGACAGAGTATGGAGACTGAGGAAAAGGCAGGGACTGTGTTTTGGCACCTCGCATGATCTCCCATCTCAGGAAGCATTTGTTTTTAGAATAATCGAATGAATGTTGTATCTGTTAATATCAGTCACTAATCTATTTTAATACCAAAAATATTATCTCAAATGTAACCATACCCAGTTTTATTGTGCTCCACAGATAGTGCATATTTTTAAAAACAAATTGAAGGTTTGTGGCAACCCTGTGACGAGCAGGTCTACTGTCCATTTTTCCACCAGCACTTGCTCACTTCATGTCTCTTGAGTCACATTTTGGTAATTCTCAACAGTATTTCAAGCTTTTTCGTTATTATATTTGTCATGGTGATCTGTGCTCAGTCATCTTTAATGTTACTACTCTGACTTGCTAAAGGCTCAGATGATGGTTACTATTTTTTAGCAATAAATTATTTTTCAATAAAGGTGCACATGGTTTAAAAACAAATTTTAGAAAAGGAAAACTTTAAGTAAACAAAATTAAGTTGCACATTGTTTTGTAGACCTAACGCTGCTGCATACATACATCAGTTCAGTTCAGTCGCTCAGTCGTGTCCGACTCTTTGTGACCCCATGGACTGCAGCCCGCCAGGCCTCCCTGTTCATCACCAACTCCCAGAGTTTACTCAAACTCATGCCTGTTAAGTCAGTGATGCTGTCCAACCATCTCATCCTCTGTCGTCCCCTTCTCCTCTTGCCCTCAATCTTTCCCAGCATCAGGGTCTTTTCAAATGAGTCAGCTCTTCGCATCAGGTGGCCAAAGTATTGGAGTTTCAGCTTCAGCATCAGTCCTTCATACATACATAATAGGTTATAATATAGACATAACTTTTATATGCACTGGGAAGCAAAGAAATTCATATGACCTGCTTTCTTGAGATATTTGCTTTATTGTTGTGGTCTGGAACTGAACTCGATATATTGCCAAGGTATGCCTGCAATTGTCTCATCATGTTCACTCTCTGATTTGTTCCCAGTAACAACCTGAGCTGCAGTCTTCCTAAACCTACTCCCACAGGGCTTCTGATTGTCTCAGTTCATTAAGGGCTTCTCCAGAGCAGTCGTGGCCCCTCTCCACCAGCACTTTTCAACCTTGGCTGCCCAGTGGAACAATCACCTGGGAGGATGATAAAAATCTTGATGCCTGCATCATGCCTCAGGCCAATTAAGTCAGGCTAGGGAGGGCAGGACCCAGGCCTTAGGACTTTGTAAAGTTTCCCAAGCAATTCCAAAGTGCAGCCAAGATTGAGAACCACAGCTGTGCTCTGAGGCCAGGTGAGGTTCCCTGCTACGTTTTGACTCAAGTCTGTTGCTTTTTTGACAGTCTTCTTTTGTTTTTCTAACAGGGTTGTTGTTTTTTTTTAATATTTATTTTTATTTATTTTTTTGGCTCCTGTGGGTCTTAGTTGTGGCATGTGGGATCTGGTTCCCTGACCAGGGATCGAACCCGGGCCCCCTGCCTGGGGAGCTTGGAATCTTAGCCACTGGGCCTGCAGGAAAGCCCTCTAACAGGGTTTTTAAAATACCTTGAAAGAGCTACTTTTAGCTCCAAAGAAACTTAAAATGGAGACTGTGACTTTGACTCCAATGATAGATTTTTTTTTTTTGAAGATTGCATATTAAAGTTTAATTAGAATGCATGAACCAAGGCTGATTTGCAGAAATAGACATTAAGAGTTTACTTACTGGTGTGCAGTGAGCCATGACCAAAAGGAAAGCGATCAGAAATACCACTTTCATCTTTTGACTCTTATCTGTAAGTAAAACAAGAATATTAATTCTTTTTTTAAAAATTTATTTATTTTACTTTACAGTATCGTATTGGTTTTGCCATATATTGACTTAAATCCGCCAAGGGTGTAACTTAGAAAATGTGTAACCCTTTCCTGCTTATGTATCCTGACCCTGGATCAAGCACGTTCTTAAGAAACTTGAGTGAAGATTATGCTATTAGGAACCAAAGGATGTATAGATTAGATATTCTGGAAGATAATTTTGTTGTTGTTGTGTAGTTGCTAAGTCTGTTAAACAATTGGAATATAGATTATGATTCACATGCCTTATAAATGGTGTGTGGCTCTAATTCAAGATCTACATCATACACACACACATTCAGGTATAGTATAAAACATTTCATAAAGGGAAAGTTGCTCAGTTGTGCGTGACACTTTGTGACTCCATGGACTATAGCCCACCAGGCTCCTCTGTCCATGGAATTCTCCAGGCCAGAATACTGGAGTTAGTTGCCATTTCCTTCTGCATGGGATCTTCCCAACCCAGGGATCAAACCCAGGTCTCCCACATTGCAGGCCGATTCTTTACTGCCTGAGCCAGCAGGGAAGCCCAAGAATACTGGAGTGGGTAGCTGATCCCTTCTCCAGTGGGTCTTCCTGACCCAGGAATCAAACTGGGGTCTCTTGCATTGCAGGCAGATTTCATACTTATTAGGAATATTTACCTAGTGAGTTTAAAAGAATATTGGTCTATTAGCTGTTTATAAAAACAGTTTTTGAAATACAGTTACTACTTCATTTGATTCTTACAGTGACTTTAATAGGTAGATGTCATTAGTATGATATCCACTTAGAAGTATTTGTCTTATCTATATTCCTATATTATGATATAGATGGTTTGTTTGATGTGACAGTAAATTCTAATAGATTCATGGTTTTCTGTTTTCTGCTCTATCATGGTAACTTTTATTTCAATCAGTTTAATTTTTCTTGAAAACAAAAAATCTATACTGTTATTAGAATGTCTTTTAAATGATATATAAAATGCCCTTTATTGTTGTTTTTTGGGACGAGAAGAGAGGTGAGGCATTCTGAAGATAAATATAATTGCTTTCCTTCTCCATAAGAATGCTATAATTTTTAACAATAGTATATTAATTGATTCATTTTTGTAAGAAGGATCACTTGGTAAATGTTTATTATAAAAATTAATTCTGCCATTTGAAATACTTTTTACAAAGGGAGCTATAATTTTAAAATAAATCAAGACTGAAAATGACAACACATATCCAATAATCTTAGATCTGTAAAATGCCATAAGAGAATATGTCTTGAACCAAGCTCCCAATGATTGATGTAAAAAATCCATCTTTGAGGTTAAACAGTATTTGAAATGGGGAGAGAACCTTCAAGAGGATGATATCAAGGCCAAATTCATGTAACTATTATTATCTACTGGAAGGCTTGCATCCTTATGTTTCCCTCTTATAACTGCTGATTGATGCTCCTCTTATTTTTCCATATATTCATTACTCTAAATATGGAGGAGGGAAATAGGGATAACTTCTAAAATTCTACCTATGTAGGATTTTTGTCACAGCTCTTTTTCTGCAGTTTGTTTTCACTCACTATTTTAAAACCCTAATATAACGCAGAACAAGCATCAGAGTAACACATTTAAAAATAAATAAAATGTGAGTCCATGGGACAACATTTAAAGAATTAAAAACATAGGCCACATGACTATAAAGGAGTATTAAAATGTTATTGTCAACAAATTAAACTAAATTCTTTAATTCTCAGCCTTTCCAGTTGTCCATATTTTTAATAAGATAATAAAATTTATAATTGAAAGGATATTTATTACCTTGTACTCCAGGAAAAACAGAATGTTCAAGATGGTTGAGATTTCCTTGATGCCTCGTTTCCAGATAATCTGGACAACTGGAAGGTATTTATTTATGTGGGTTCTAATGATGTGTAGTATCAGCACATTAAAAAAAAATGAGTCCTCCTGACCATCATTTGCATAGCACTAGGACAGGGGCCAATACTTCATTCTTGGCAGGGCCAAGACCCTTGTCTCTGATCAGAATACATTTTTGTGGTTTTTCTTGAGACAGGAATAATTTAGGAGACCTAGGGTTTTGGTAATGAACAATCAGGACAAATAATTGCAACAACTAAAAAAGTACCGAACTGTATTAGTAGCTTGGCTGAAAGATACGCCTTGAGAATTTCAGGTTAAAAGACTTAACATAAATCCATTGACATTTGCATGAGTCATTTCCTTGACAGAGGAAGTCTTGTTCTGCCATCTCATTCAGCGGGGAGACAAGAGGCTATGAGCTGGATAAGCGGAGGGAGCACTAGCCCCTAAATCCAAGCTCAGCTCTGCCTGTGCTGGCGTTACCTGGTGAAGGTCAGTTTGATTTCCCACCGAGAACACTCCAGGGCTCTGCTTATTTCAGAGTCCAGGTCCCTGCTAACTCAGTACCAGAGGAAAGACTTTCTTTCCTCCTCTGACAAAAGCTCACTCATCTCTTGCTCTGTATGTTTGGTAGGATAAATATTTAGTTCCTTTTGGAGAAGTCCTATACTCTCCATGTCTATAGGTTTTACTTCTGTGGTCCAGGTAAATTGGTCTGCAGTAATTTTTTTTAAATAAAAATCTTGGTTATTGAGTCTTAAATAACATCACCTGTGGGACACTAACAGCTTAGCTAAGGCATCACTTTGCCAAACCCAATTCTTTTCACAGTATTTCTTTCTAATGAGCAGCCATTTGTGGCTATGTAACCTAGTTCTGTGAAAAGGTTCTAGTACTTTTAAGCTCAAATGCAAAATGAAATAAAATGCAAGCTTTACAACTTTGCCTCAGAGACCTCCCATGTTCTAGCTGCGAAACTATGTGAATAGTGTAATTGCCTGTAACCCAGAATTCACTTTTTTCCTCTAGTTTGATGAAACAGATTGAGCCCTTTTAAAGCAGTATCCTCTCTTCTCTTTCATCTTATCTGGAACAGAGATAGTGATAAGTGAGAAAAGTCAAAGAAACCTCTGGATCTATCATCATGGGGACCCAACCACCCTACTAAGCAGCAGCAAACAGGATAGTCTGGGAGCCATATGAGAACCTTGTTTGTTTTTAAACCTTAAGGAAATTTTACATCCGGGGTCAAAAAAGAAAGGTGTGGTGTGGTGTCAGAACAGAAAATGTGGATAAAGACAGAACACGAGAGATGTGGCACCACTCCCTTGAGGGGCAAATTAACAGCCATCATGGCCTGCAAATGCCAGGATCACAAAACCTAGCAGCCTCCAAGGAAGAGCAGCCATTTCCAAGAAGCAACCAGTCTTGAAAGATACAGGTTTCACTTTTCCAATCTGCTTCCTCAGGATTACAGTTGTCAGAAGACCCTGCTTGTTCCTCCTGCCTTTGCAAAAGGGTGGCTGACTGACGAGAAAACCTTGCTTGTTAACCTGTCTGCGTCTCCTAAAATTGAGGCACTAACTCTTGGCTTCTCAACAGTGGGGATCAAAAGTTCGGTCCTTCAGGAATAAATTTGAGGGGGTGGACCTCTCAGCTTTCTGAGGTGTGGCATCCCAAAGGAGTGTGTGCTTTCCCTTTGAAGACTCACAAGCCCTCAGCATTAAGAAGCACAGACTACCACCTAGAGTAGAATGTAACACATTTTCTCAGGAAGCCTTTTGTTCTTTTTTTTTTTCAGTTGATTTATATATTCATTGAAAGTATACAACATAGTGATTCAATATTTTATAGATAATACTCCATTTAAAGTTATTATAAAATATTGGCTATATTCCTTGTGGGTGGTGGTGGTTTAGTCACTAAGTCATATCTGACTCTTGCAACCCCATAGATTGTAGCCCACCAGGCTCCTCTGTCCATGGAATTCTCCGGACAAGAATACTGGAGTGGGTAGCCATTTCATTCCCCAGTAAATCCTTGTATCTTATTTTATACAAAGCAGTTTGTACTACTTTAATCCCCTACCCCTATCTTGCTCTTCCCTCTCCCCACTGGTAACTATTCATTTGTTTTCTGTATCTGTGTCTATTCCTGTTTTGTTACATTCATTCATTTGTTTTATGTTTTAGATGGCACATATAAGTGAAATAGTATTTGTCTTTCTTTCTGTTATTTCAGTAAGCATGATACCCTCCAGGTCCACCCATGTTGCAAATGGCAAAATTTCACCCAGGGTTAATGGGAAGGACAGAAAAGACATTCCAGGAAAAGGGGACAGTGTGAGCAGAAACATGGAAGTGAGAAGAACATGGTGGATTGGTGGATCCATAGGTAGTTCAGTCTTCTTAAAGGATGAGGAAGCAGGAAGTGGTATGAGTGTCTGCGTGCACTGTGGTGTTTTAGGAATCCTGACTAGTTGAGTGATTCAGAAGCCAAAAGAGATAAGCAGAAATCACCAGGTCCTCATTCTCCCTTAGGAAAGAGGAAACTTCAGTCGTTAATGAAATCAAAAGGAAAGTGTCATGTATCAGATGACTCAGTTTCTTCATATATTGCTGCTGCTGCTAAGTCACTTCAGTCGTGTCCGACTCCATGTGATCCCATAGATGGCAGCCCACCAGGCTCCCCCGTCCCTGGGATTCTCCAGGCAAGAACACTGGAGTGGATTGCCATTTCCTTCTCCAATGTGTGAAAGTGAAAAGTGAAAGTGAAGTTGCTCAGTCGTCTGACTCTTAGCGACCCCATGGACCGCAGCCTACCAGGCTCCTCCATCCATGGGATTTTCCAGGCAAGAGTAATGGAGTGGGGTGCCATTGCCTTCTCCGAAAATCTCTTAAAAATTAGAATGCTAATTTTGTAGATAAAACTTTTATCTTTGAAGATCTCATTTTTCTAAAGCATGTTCAACCAAATACTCTTCCTGATAGAGGGGAGTATGTGAAAGTAGCCAGGAAATTCAGAAATCAATTAATCCATATTCATTTTAAGTGAATTTGGTGAATGTGTTTGTAGTT